ATTTACTTGGTTAGTGGCTGGCACATGCAGCCCACTAACCAAGTTTCACAGTTTTGACATAAACAATTAAGGTTAAATGTTAAATTTGATCCCTCAACTTTAGTGAGTTGCACATTTTTAATACCTCAACAATTTTTTGCACTTTTTTGATCTCTCAACTATACAAAATGCACTCCGTTAGTCTTTCTGTCAATTTGAGTCGTTAACTCGGTTACATGGCATTTTTTATATTTTTTTTATGATATGACGAGGACAACTTAAAAAGATGCTGATCTGGACTTTTCTTGATGACATGTCATTTTCCCGTGCCAAAGTCCCTCAAATGAATCCCACGTTGCCTGCAAACCACCAATAAAGAAAGGTCTGTGAACCCTAGAATGATCTCTCATCTTAACTTTTGGCAAAATCAATATAACTCATATCTTTTTATTCTCTGAATGCTTTTTCATTTTCACTCCATCTACAACATCAATCTTAACCCATTTCTTCTTCTCTAAATGCTCTCTCATCTCCACTCCATCTACAAAACTGATCTTAACTCATTTCTTCTTCTTCTTTGAATGCTGTCTCATCTCCACTCCATCTACAAAACTAATCTTAACTCATTTCTTCTTCTTCTTCTCTTTTCTGTCATTGAACTCAGCTACTGGGTTTCATTGAAACCTCAAACCTAATAGATTTTATCAAATCAAATTAACCCTTCAATAAACAATATCAATTAAACTCTAATCAAATTCCATTGTAAATCAACTCTCAAATTTATGAACAACTGAAAATGGAAATCGAAAGAACTCAACCGATCTGGCTTGCTGGTTCGCGCGACCAGCAAGCCTGGGTTCGTCGAAACCCAGCCTTGCTGGGTTCCAATAAACCCCAACGAATCCAGCAAGGTTGGGTTTTGACGAATCTAGCAGTTGGGTTTCGACGAATCCAGTAGTTGGGTTTGTGGGGTTCGACGTCAAACCCAGCCGCTTGGTTCCTTCAAAGCTACTGGGTTCCGACCTATTGCTACCGAACCAGGGTAGGAAAGAAAGAAATAGAAAGAAAGAAATAGAAAGAAAGAAGGGGAAGAAGAGGGATTGAGAGGGTAAGGGTAATAAGGTAATTTTATTTGTTTTTAATTAAAATATAAATATAAATTTACGTGACATTTTTATTTATTTACATAACATAATTATAATATATATTATTGCTACATCATAAAAAAATTAAAAGATTATACCCCATGAAATTATTTAACTGCCACATCATATTTAACTGACGGAGATAAGGTTGTCAAAATCGAGATTTTACCTAAAATCATTTTGGCTATGTAAAATTGAAATCGTAAAATCAAATCGGTAAAATTTAGATTTTACAAAATTTAATATATAATATATAATAAATTATATAAAATCAAAATTAAATAACAATAAATCAATTTTAGAATTAGAAACTTGAAATTAGGTAATTAAAATCTAAATATCTAACAACACATATAAATTAAACGAAAAAGATGACTTACATTTAAAATTTTAAATGATTAAATCAAATTTATCCCAAATTTTTAATTAAAATATTAATTTGTGATTGAATTGTGGGTTTGGAGAGGCATAATCTTCATATTGTACCTCACTCACAAACTTCACATCTCTGAAAAAATTCTGATAAAAAAAAAAGCAATTATTGTCCTTACATACAGAAACAGGACTTTTTTCAGTCACGCCACAACAAGACAAGAAAATTCAGACAAGTACACGTCATATATATATATATATATTTTGAAAATAGGCAATGAAAGT